GGGTATCTCGGATAAAGTCATCGTAACCCTCGCGGGTGTGAGATGAGTTTGAAATGATGGATTGAATGTTCTTCATTAGCTCGGTATTTTGATAGCTAGATTTAGTGGGAGATGTATCAAATGAGCTAGTGAAGTTGATAGGGGAGTTTACCCAGGAGGAAAGGGTGGGAGTACTCTGTGATGGAAACTGTACGGAGGAAACAAATTTATGGTTTGCATGTGGTTTGAAATAACCTGGGCTATATGCTTCAACAGAGGTGTCACTAGGGGTCTTATTCCAAAAAAATCTTGTACAGGCCTACTGTGAAGTGTATGGTTATTTACAAAATAGTCTTGATGGTTAGACTCGTAGCCTCTGTTATGGCTATTTACGTTAGCGTGAGAGGGGTCTGCTACGCGTAACTGGGAGGAGTTGCGACTGTTGATATACGTGGGAGCCGTTGTTATGTGAGGGGTCGGTAGTAAAGGGTATGACAAGTTTTCTTTCTGAGAGTAATTACAGTTGCGGTCCTGGGGAATGTAGGTAGGGTGTGGAGTGAGAAACCTATTATTACCATTCGTATTTATGGTTTTAGGCTTCAGGGGGTGATTTGGGTGGGCAGTTCTCCGGTAGTTTTCACTAGTCTGTGTGTAAGAAGGCTTGCTACGTTGAAGCCCACCACCCATTTTGCAACTTGGAGTTGCTGAAGGCAAGTTATACGATAGCAGCGGGGAGAACCTGTTCACTGTTCTTGGGATACCTATAGAGCAGTTGGGTTCAATCTTACGTGTTTCCCTACTCGGTATTATGAGTTTTGTCTTCACACCCTTTATTTTCAGAGCTGGAGCCTTTCGTTGTCTTTGTGAGATGAACTTACGTTCATTCAAGTCTACTTGTGGAATATCTTTAGGAGGACAAATTTTCAAGTGTATAGGTTTGGTTGCACGTGTGTTTTTACACGACTCACATTTTAGTACATTACTGAACGAACAGCTGGGATTAGTCATGTCGTTATGGTTTTTGGTGTCAGTTGGGGTCCGTATCTTATCCAAAGTTTTCTGATCTGTAGACTCATCTAGATCAACAGAGTGATCAGCCGTATGTGGAGTGGTGTCATGCTTATTGTTCGTGTGTTCTAAACTATTTGCTGTGTTGCAAACTGTCTCAGACTGATTATTAACTGTAACACTCCCATTCAATTCTATCGCTTCGCGTCTTCTTACACGACGTTGACAGGGCGTAAGGTCTGGAGTGACTTTTATATTTTTGTATGGAATTAGTGAGCTAATATTTTTGCTCGAATTAATAAACTGCTTAGCATCGTTACAACAGCCAAACATAAACAAAATGGGGCAAGTCGATCTGTCTGACTTTTTTCTAAGGCGGATGACTTTGCAGTTAACGTTCGGCATACCGCATGCTCTAAGGCAAATATCTCTTAGCTTAGATGGGTGTGTGCGGTCGAGAAGGTTATACACAACTGCATTGAAGGAGGACATCACTCTCTTCGTCACTTCTTCAGCCACAAACTCCAAAATACACTCAGCTTTAGTGAGTTGCTCAAGATTTCTATCTGTGTCAAGGCCCCATATATGAGTGAGGGGTGCTAATTTCTCAAGTTTGCCGTTAATTTCGGATAGAGAGTTTTGCAGCTGTCGGATTTCATTACTATATCTATCAGTATTTTGGTGTGTATGAGGAGGACCATTGGACTCTTTAGTTTTTGAAATTTTAGACTTAGGCCTTGGTAGCACATATTGTCTAGTAGACTGTGCTGACTTTTCGATGCACGTAGGTATAGTGTCTTGTATGTCCACCAGTCTTACCGTTGGCATACTGCACGTAGAGATAGAGGGGCTGCGACAGGGAGAATCTGGTGACGATAGGGACATTTGTGTACAATATACATATTTTTCAGTAGTTAAAGGTTCGACATTGTCAAGCACTGAGTCGTCAGTTGTAGGGGTTACAGATTTGGACCTTTTATTTGGCTTAGAAGTTGGTGAAAATCGTCTTTTAATGGAGTTATTGGACATGATATGAAAATAAGTGAGCACAGTGCTCGTTAAATTAAATATAATATCTGAGTATTAGTTGTTATTAAGTATTAAACTGGTTAATACTAGGATTAGAGACTATGAGTATATAATAAATTGCAGATCTATTAATGATCTATTAATAATGGTAGACCAACATATACATTTCACCGGGATTTCAAGGCAGACATCAAAAGGATGAATAGGACTTAGACACGACTGGAAAGGAGAGCCCATGACAAAATTTGTTGGAGAATCCTGGTCAGTGGCCTATGGTCTACGAAAAGTGACACCTGGAAGTAAATAATATTTTTATTGTCATTTTCACTGAATAGGTGTGTGACCGATCCGTGGAACACACTAAGTGTGTGACTATTGAAGTAATACATAATGAAATCACAGTGATGTGGTTCTTAAACTGACAACTTAGTAAAGCAATATATAAGTGATCGAACAATTGAATTTTTTAATTCAATGAAAAGAAACCCACTGGTATTTCTTTAAACAGCTCCATTTGGAGCCTTTCTATGGTTACTACTGGTTTAAGCTATATAAATTTATTATTATTATTATTATTAAGCTTGGGTGAAGGGAGAGGGTTGAGTATAAAGTCAACGACCTCATACGGTGAAAAAAGTACCTTGATAAATAGAACGCCAACTAGAAAAGGCCACTTAAGCCACTTCTGTGGGCGTTAAAGCTAGATCTCAAATTTAAATCCGGAGTATACGTATTTCGGGTTGCCAGATTCTATCACTAGTCAGAATACCAAATTAGTGCAGCCAACACACGAGTAAATAAACATGTATTTGTCAAGTTTTTAACCAATAATTCCTATTTCCTTCCAGATACTGAACAACAGTATATATCTTGTTTCTTGTAGGTGTCATTACCAAGGTTTGATTTGATAATTTCGAATAAATTGAGCATTGGGTTCATTGTTACAAATATATTATTTTTATTTATATCTTGTTTCTTGTTTCAAATTCAACTACTGTAAAGTTCTACGTTGTTACTGACTGACTGACTGTGAAGCGGCATCCTTTTTTAGTTTGAATAACCGGTTAGTACTATCATATTTCACAAGAAAAGTGGTATACCAACTTGTATTTAGCAAATGAGAAGAGTTTTAAGAGGCATGTCGAATACTTTGACAAAGAAAGAGCTACTTTCAATATCATTTTGCATCATCTCACTTAAATACAATAATCATTAAAATATACCCTTTAGGATAGAATTGATAAGTGGTCACTTACTACTGCAACGACTTTGGTCAATACTAGTAATAACCTGCAAATTATTGTATTATTCAATTACCCAAAGAATAAACTGTGTCTTAAAATCAGGAATTTATCGATACAAAAGCAATGAAGGTGAATACTATCTCTATCCTGAAGGTGAAAAAAAAAAGGTAGACCAACATACACATTTCACCGGGATTTCAAGGCAGACATCAAAAGAATGAATAGGACTTAGAAACGACTGGAAAAGAGAGTCCAGAACAAAGGTTGTTGGGGAATCCTGGTCAGTGGCCTATGGTCTACGAAAAGTGACACCTGGAAGTAAATAATATTTTTATTGTCATTTTCACTGAATAGGTGTGTGACCGTACCGTATAGCACAGTAAGATAAAGAATGAATCAGCCTCTAGTTGAAGGGAGAATTTGGGTAAGAAAATGAAGGTGGATAAATCGTGAGTTTTGAATCTCGTAAAAGCGCATCATAAGCAAATTTTTAATTTGGTTTCTTGAACGAAAATTGAAAAGATATAGACCAAAGAACATACAGTGCCGGAAGTGTGAATAAAACATCAAATTAGTTCAAATGGTCCAAATGGTTGTGAACGGAATAGAAGAAGCTTTCGCTTAACAGGCTTCCGTGTCTAGTAGCAGGGGATCACCAAATCCTCCAGGCAGGAAGCTAGGTATGTTATTAATAAATGAGGAAAAGAAATTGGTAAATCATAGTGTGATACTGTCCTTGGTCCTTAAGAATAGGTCAAGTTTCCTCTTGAAGGACTCCTGAGAAGTCGCTTGGACTAGCTCAGCCGAAAGCGAATTCCAGCATTTGACAACTCTTAAGGAGTAGAAGTTGTGTCTACATTCCGTTCTGCTATTTTGTGTCTCCAGTTTTTGGGTGTTACACCTTAGGTTAGTGTTGGAACTAAGCTTAAGTAGGTGTTTGAGAGTATGTCCAGAAGTGTTGAGGATGCTATAAGCCATCAGAAGGTCACCTCTAAAACGCCTATACTCTAATGGGTAAAGATTTAGTGAATGGAGGCGTTCTTCATAAGGTTTAAATTTGAGTCGTCGAACTGATTTCGTGGTTCGCCGTTCAATACGCTCCAGGGTGTCCTTATCCTTTTGGAGTGAGAGGGGAAATACTATGTTTCCGTACTCTAAATGGGGACGGATAAAACTATTGAAGATTATATGGAAAGTTCTTCCGTCAAACTGGCCAAAAATGCGCTTCAACGTTACCAGTGCAAGGTTTGCTCGGAAGGCATTTTTGTCACAGTTAGCGTATGACTTTAAATCGTAGGGCACCAAGACTCCTAAATCTTTTTCGACTTGGGATACTACTAGAGAGGAGTTTCTCAAGTTGTAACTCTAGTTTGCGACATGTCGCAGATGGACTACTTTACACTTTGAAGTGTTAAAGGTAGGTCCGTCATCATCTGCCCAACTTTGAAGTCAAGTTAGATCCTCCTAGAGTGCCTGTATATCGTCTTGGTTGCGTGTCTCCCTCCAACGTTTCACGTCGTCGGCAAAAATTAATAAGTCTGACGTTACCTGTTGAGGAAGATCATTTATGTAGACTGTGCGACCAGACAAACATTTGACTTCCGTTCAGCAGCTGGGATGTGAATAGTATACGACAAAAACTATAGTAGGGAGCACTGCCTAGATCTCTAGAGCCTATGAATAATAGAAGTCCTAAGTAAGTCGGTCTACAAGCTTGGTTTGTTTTAAACGCTCACATTTGTACAATTTGTAGGTCAGGGTCGAGTAGGTGGCTTTTTGGAGGTGTGTTTAGTGAGTCACTTCACTATTTGGGGATGGTGAGGGATCTAGCTTTCCCAATGAAGTCCTCTACCATCAAACTATTTATCCTGATTTTTCTTCTCTTACTGGTACTCCAACTCATATTCTTCTACTCCTCAAGCATAGATGGTAAGTTGCATGTCGTGTTAATTTATACGTTAGACTGTCTTCACAATTTCACAATGTTTACTGTACTATTTTTGTTCAACTTTTTTAAGCATCTTCAAACAACGCTCTTAAGCGTCGTATTCGGGTAGTGGCCTAATTTGCATAATAAAGAAATAATTCTTACTAATTAAATACTCCAGTACTTTGAATTTTTCCTGATAATTATTGGTTAGAATATAGTAAAAATTAAGTCTGCAGCAGTTCCCCTAGTTTTTCAGTTAATTTCACGTCCATGGAAAATGGATTCAAGTGTTCCTTTTGTATACAGAAATAGGGTTGCAGGGATTAACTATCTAATAGGATTTTCTTGGTAATTCTCAAACGTTTTATCGGAAAGTCTACGTCTCAACACGTGTCACTGAGATTCTCTACTAGGGTACATAGCACCCACAATTGTTGGTCAATTATTCAACTATCCGCTTTACCGATATTGAATGTTAGTCTAAGCCATCTCTCCCGTTCTTACTATTGTAGAAGTTGACAGCGGTAGTTGAATATCCATTTACAAGTACATTATACCCCAGTTACAATGTGCTTGCAAGCAAATGGATTTGGAAATTCACTTTGAAATCAAGTTTTTGAAAACGTTCACTCGTATTTAATCTTGAGAAATAGTTGTAGATCAGTTCTTTTCTGTTGTGATTAAGTTTACATTCACTAAAATATAATATTAATTAGACGGACAAATAATATTGTGCGATATTTCAATCTTGAACTATTGTGTGACGTTCTCAATTTGGCAGGCATGTGGTTCTAAGTATCACTTGATGAGGTTGTAAATCTTCATTGACTGAGATGGTTGGCTCACGTGTTACGTATATCTGAACACCGATTACCACGGCGCACAATGCTGAATGGTGTTGGAGTCGGTTGGAAAAAATTTAGGCGCAGCCAAACCTAAAAATGGCATCGCTACTTGAAGTCACTAACTTCTAGTCTCAGTCATGTTGACAGATACAAACCACTTGGTTGTGGTTCGTGTGACTATCATAACCAATGGTTGAGGACTCTGTGCGACATGACTCAGAATCAATCACAATGGCGTCGGTGTATACACTTGATAGGATCAAAATTACAAAGTTGAGCATTATTTGCAGCGAAATGAACAGTGGTATCACAAACTGACTATGTCCAATCGTACCACATTTAAAATATCTAGAAGTACAAAATACACATAAATCAAATGAATGAAACTTGCCGCAGGATAAACATTTACCAAACTTGTGCTCATCTTCTTCACCCGCTTCTCAACTCCTCAATGAAGTGTTATCTGAATAACCTTAAGGACGCATTGGATTGTGATGATGTAGTCCTGATGAACCATTTTATGAAATTGTATTTCAAACCAGTGGTGCACATGCACTCCGAGATCCTGAGGAAACAAATGGCGTATGAACCTATTATTAGTCCCGGATACCAATGGACTGCATCTCCTTAAGTTGCTCCACTACCTTGTGGATCAGACCTTTAAGTTGAAGGCTTGTGGAATGCCCCCCAAGCAAACCTCCTGCTTCAGTCTAGGCACCCGGGCAGTATCACGGACTACACACAAATCAAGTGACTTGTGTGGGACATATGTATTCGGTGCCCCTTTGTACCAATATTTATGAGTTAAAATAAATAAATAAATAAAAAACATCAAGTGTAAAGGAATCATTAGTTCATAAAAACACCACAGTGTGACAACTTGAACTGTTGGATTTATGTGCCTGGTCCTACGTTGTATCTGACTGACTAACTGATCGATCTAATATGAGCTTCTTAATAGCAATAATTTTTACAAAACTTGGTAATTCAGAAAACGTTTGCTTATTAATTATTTAAAAGTATTTTGTGGTTTAAAATTCATTTTCATCAATCCAGAACATTCCGCAGCGATTCATAATGCAAGGTCACTATAAATTAGAGTTTTTTCAGTAACTTAAAATGCACTTAGTTTGATCACGGTAATTTCTATGTCAATATTATTAAGAAGTCCATAGACTGTATTTTTATATATATATTTGGTTCCCCCTTCTACCAATATTTATGTGTTCAAATAAATGCATAAAGTAAAGATTTTTAATGATCAATCACTATGTATACCTAGGTAGAAAAGTCTGTAAATCCTTAGCTTTTTTGAATTTGTTTTCGGTCAATAGTGATGTGTGACTGTCTCCACATAGTCTGTATTTAAATACCACACTATTTTGACTCTCATCTTGTCTAAAAACAAGCGTTTAGGGTAATAGGGAACAACTAACTATCCTTGTGCCATACTCTCTTCTAAACTTTGTGAGGTTAAGACGCAGTTATTTCTGACTCGTTAACATTTAAAGCTAGTTTCGTCAGCATAAAGTGGTTTTATTTGCTGCTACACTGTTGTTTATCTTTGAAGGAGGTTTCAGCTTCGTTGTTAAACTATGTTAGATGGTATCTTAATCAACTAATGTTTGTATCACTCATGTGTATATTTCTTTGAATTCTCACAATCTGGTATCTACTGGGTTTCTATCTGATTAAACAAATTTATTCAGTGCGCTGCACGTACGATCACTTGAATATATACTTTTTAGGTACTTTGGCTGAATCGGACGCCATTGTTGATAACAAATCTGGGAAGTGAAAAGCAACACTTCTTGGTCACTATTACCAAGTACTTGTGTTCAGTCAACAATAATGCTGTTTTTTTATTTGTACAGTGGAGCTCCCTGTGATTCATATTTTGTTCTTTTTCCACGTATTGTACAAGAGCAGATGTTATATTCGCATTGACTAAATTTTGATGAGAGTTTTCAAGACAGAATATCATCTTACTTAACGAATTTGCCGTACAGTAAGCTCTTAAAAGTATGTAGTCAGTTTTACAAGACCAGTCATTCGTTAAAAAAAGTTTAAAGTACCCGTTCCTTTGACTCTGAAATCACTCCCAAGTCAATAAAGGCTATCAACATTATTGGTCACGCTAAATTATCTAATGACCCTGAACTAATTTTGTCACTGGACCGATGCATATATGTGCCTGGTCCTACGTTGTAGCTGACTGACTGACTGACTAAGTTGTCTCGTGCATTGTATCAGTCAGTCGGTCATATTCGGTAGTCTAGTATAAATGTGGATTGGCCTAATTTGCTACACCATATTAGCATAGTGAGATGCAATTATCAAAACAAATGGCAAATAGTAGAATCAGTAGTATCAATGATAGTAAAAAATATTATTTGATGAGGGAATGTATCGAAAAACAAAATATACAACATAATTCTAAAACCACAAATCTAGGATGGACAAAGAGTGAATGCTCTTAAACCGCCTCTATCAATTCTGAGTTATGTCATCAAATGTCCCTAACTATTGGTCTTGATAATTACAAGGACCTCGAAACGATAGTCTATATCTGCAAACATGGTTTGTCGTGTAACATCTTTGTACCGATAAATTCGGAGGTATATATAACACCACAAATAGTAATGGCTTCTGTCCTCTGGATACAATCTGACAAGCACATGCAATACCATATCCGAAGAAAATTGTGATGATGCTATCAACACACATATGCATTTTGAACGAAAGATAATAAGCATCGAATGAGTATTTCAGTGGTTTTGTTTCTCAAAAATTGAATAATTTATTTATAGAGCTTCATCGTTTTCTTAAAAATAACAACGCATAGTTTGAACGTATCTTCCTGTGACCTAGTATATAACCTTTTTTGTTAGTTAGGATTTCTCTAATTAACTTGTTAGCTTGACCTTTCAGTATGTTGAACAAAGTTTATAGGATCTATTCGGTACATATGAACAGTAGAGAAAAAGAAAAGAAAGACATAGAAATGATAAGATAAATAAGAGGACGTGAGAAATAAAACTAATAATGAAGTTATAAGACGCTCAAAATTTGAGAAATAAATAAATAGTAAATGGATATATACTGTTATGATAGGCTTTTAACCGTTTTCTCAACACCCAGACTACTTATTTCTATCGTTACCTGGGGATTACACCGGGGGCGTTTCAACCCGATAGTTGGTAATTTTCTACACTAATTCATTAGGAAATTCCTCCTACAATCACTATCATAATTCGTGATGAGTAACAACTTTACATCTTTAACATAATCCATATATTTATGAAAGTAAATGTCCTTTAGTTAATGAAAAGTAGTTATAACCAATTACTTGATATCCCACTAAAATAAAGTCATGGTGTATAGTAAATTACTCATACAGAATTATATATATTTAACTATATAGTTACACAATAAAAATTCAATGTTGCAGTGTTTTTGCTTGTTATCTATCTCCAAATTATCAGGAATAATTTTCGGTTTGTAACATTGTGGTTCTTATACATTTCATGTTTTTTTATTCTTAGTTGTCAATATAGTTGGTCAACTAGGTAATTCGGGATTAGCGGATAGTGGCGGTAGATTTGGCCCACGTGATCAATTGGAGACACTTGGTGATATGGGTCGTCCAGTTGTCTTACCTGAGTTTCTAAAAGCTGAATCTAAGCTCACATTTCATGTAAATGAATTCAATCTTGTTGTTAGCAATTTGATTGGTCTACGTCGTAATTTAGATGATTTTCGTCATCCTAGGTAACGTTTGATATGTAATTGTATGTATGCATCTATTATATATATTCATGTTTTAATTTGTTTCACATGTTCAGATGTATATTTATTACTGAGGATAAGTTGTTTCGTTTAATATTTAAGACAAACTAACAGAAAACTCGAAATCTAGGTTCTGTATATATTAGAACGGTCTCTGTGTTACTTCCTGTAACTCCAGTTATGCCACTAGATGGTGTGTATTCTCGTTGCGTTGTAAGCATAATTCTCCCTAGAATGATAAATCTCTCTGTTTAGTTTTAAACGAAGTGATATTTAAGTCTAATGGTTCCACGTATTGCACAATCAGTTAATAATATATGATTAGTAATTATTAAGACCTGGTGACTTACCTACGTTTAATCTTTCCGGTGTGTAGCACTGAAATACAAAGGATTTTTCTAGGACCGTTGAAAAAAATTAGTGAAAATCTAATGATGAACATAGACCAAAACGACCGATCTGTAAATAGGTACTGGTTTTGTTTACAATAGAAACTCAACTACGAATGTTCTTTTCTAAGTTACCTCATGTATTGTCAGTCTGAGTTAGAAGATTTATCTGTTCTGATCATTAAAGATAAACATTTGTTTTACTTATAGCTCTCTGACAGTAAAATATAACTTTATTTATTTGAACACAAATAATGGTACAGAAGGGCACCGAATACGTATGTGCCACACAAGTCACTTGATTTATGTGTTGTCTGTGATACTGCCCGGGTGCCTAGATCGAGGCAGGTGGTTTTCTTGGTGGGGGCCACACCACAAGCCTTTGACACAAAGGTCTGATCCACAAGGCAGTGGAGCAATGTAAGGAGATGCAGTCCCATAGTAGCCGGGACCAATAATAGGTTCATACGCCATGTGTTTCATCAGGATCTCGGAGTGCATGTGCACCATTGGTTTGTAATCAGGGTTTTCCAACTCCCCTAGATGGACCCTCTGTGTCCACCGACCCGGTTAAAAAACCTGACATCCGGTTTTTTTCCTCTCAATTTCATAAACAACACCCCCGCCACGAGAAGGCATTGAGTAGGACTTCCCTGGCAGAAGATATATACGCGTGGCTATATGAGAGCATTTCGAGAGGAAGAGCGGACTCTCCCCACTGTCTGCCGTACCAGGGCATTTGGGGGCAATATAACTCTCCTTAATTACTGTATAAAGAGTTCACATATTCTGCTGCTTTTTATGCAACTATAAATTAGAAACTATCACCATTGGATGCCGGCTCAGTGGTCCAGTTGGTTAAGCGTTCACGCGCGAGACCGAAGGCCCTGGGTTCGAATCCCGCGAGCGGGATCGTTGATGCGCACTGCTGAGGAGTCCCACAATAGGACGAAACGGCCGTCCAGTGCTTCCAGTTCTTCAATTGTGGTGGTCTAACATCAATCGGTTCATGATCTCGATCAAAAACTTAAAATAGTATGTTGTAACTGAATACATTTTTGTTTCTAAATATTCTTTAAGTCATAACACTCGTATTTTCAGTGAAGTTTCTTTTCATTGAAAAGCAAATCACAAATTATAATCATAACATTGAATAGAAAAGTTTCAAGATGTAGTTGTTAAGTAAAAATATAAAATCTAACCTTAACCTCCCGGTAAGCAAAATCAATATTTTTGTAATTTTCCCAAAAGTTAAAATGAAAAGAATTTGATCTATGAATAATAACCAGGTTTTTTTTATATGTAGAAATACCTTTTATGATAGTAGAATAACAGCAAAAAGAAAGAAACATTTTTTACGAGTATGCGAATAAAATATAGCGAAGTTAGAACATAACAAGGCGAGGGACTTAACTATTATTATTATTATTATTACTATCACTATTATTATTATTATTATTATTATTATTATTATTATTATTATTAATGGTTTTATTCAATGTAAAGCCATTAAGAAATTGTCTCACAAAGTTTATCTGAGATTTTGTGTGGGTAGAGCTTATACAATGTAAAATAGATGTATAATGAAGGATGTAATCTATCTACTAGATACGTAATTCTCAAAAAGATACTATTTGTAAACTCTGAATTTAGTAATGTTGCTGCTGATACACATAGAAACTGTTTGAAAAGGTCTAGACTGTTCGTTGAGGTATATTCTTTCATACATTATTGACCGTACGTACGAAGTTCTACGTTGTTACTGACTGACTGACATTATAGAGCATTTCCTAACATGGCTTAGGAAAAGTATAACGTGGGTTAATTACATCTTATCTCCTATGCCTACCTTACATTGTATAAACCATACAATATCTCAGTTCAACTTTGTGTGTCCGGTGAAAATTTGTTAGATCTCTCGCCTTATTATGCTTTTAACTTCGCTATGTTGCATTCTCATCCTTACGAACATATAAATTTTCTCTGTTTGTTGTTCTATTGTCATAAAAGATGTTCTTGGATAACAGACACACAAGTTGTCTTTAAACTCATATCTTTATCCACAGATACGTAATTGTACAGTTTTGTAAATGAATTTGTTGTGAAGGCTCCCTTCATTGGACTATTATTTCTAATAGCGTAAAAAGGGTCTATACAAATTAGTTCCTCATTATCATCATATTATCATGAGTGTTCACTCTGTAGAACGAATTGAATCCTCAAAAAATATTTAAGTGTTATTGGACAGCTTTTTTATTCCTTTATAAGGGCAAGTTTGATGATTTTAAAAATAAATTCAATAAAACTTTGATGCAAAGATGGATAGTGGTTATCAGTGGAATCCAGGACTCGCGTTTCGTTCTATTTGGGACTCTTCAGCTGGATGTGTCTGCATCTCAGATTTGATGTTCACTCTGGAACTCGAACCCAGTTCTGTTCGCTTCAAACGCCGTCGCGTTATCCACTTCAAGTCCTAGAGCCAACATCAACTTTGAGATGCAGGTACATCCAGTCCCAAATAGGACGGAATGAGCGTCCTGGATCCCACTGCTAGCCACTGTTCATCTTTGCATATAATGCTTGTGAATTAAGACTATATCGAAGCAATATGCACAGTATGCACATATTCCAATAAGAGACAGACTAATTGGAGTCTTGAACATCAATGGGAAGGTCCAAACATATACCAAGTGAATTTAAAACTTTGATGTTTATCAGATTATTTTATTTAGTTAAAGAAGTGACTCATCAATTAGCGACTTTGTTCTCATTATCTGTTTTTCACCGCTAACCAATCTATTGTTTACTGGTATCATATATTCTCAGTATATAGAGTTCATACGACTGTTTCAATCAAACGAATTCTTTTTATTTCAAAAAAAAAACTTCGTCAGTTGACATAAAGAATGGTTTCTATATTAAACATGAACACTGAGAAGTAACTAATGTTCTGTTGTTTAGACTTGAGTGTTGATCGAATCCTCCTAAATCGCTACCTGGATGGCTACTTTTCAACATAACTATGATATTTAATGATATTACTTTAAATCATAAAAGGATCGTCAATTGCTACATGATCGAACATCCACTTTGCTAGTGAGGTTGTCGAACAACACGAAACAGGTCCATGGGCTCCTGACAACTGTCTTTAACCACATAACATTAATAATGTCTTAGTGCTAATTAAATATATTCCAAATAAAATTGTAACTTTGAACAATACATTTCTCAGTAGTTAGGAGATATCTTGGAGTTATTATTAGGTGCTCTGATCAGTAACTTAAATGTTTTAGCCCTTCGTTTCGTGTTTTCGACGTGTAGTTTTTATTAATGACCAGTGCATCTATGTCTATCTGTTTTCCTTTAAGTGGTAAACTTTGTATAGAATCTGAGATGATAGAGATTTGTAGCTCAGGCGGATGATGTCGGTAGAGTTTCTTTCTCTGAGCCTCTAGAATTTCCATCAAAAAAGGTTTTGTGAACTCATTTATCAGGTCCAGTTTTGTGTAATTAGTTCTCAGATACACTTTAGTGTGAAGGCTAATAGTACTACTCATTTGTTCAAACCGATGAAAGATGAGGCAGAGTTCAAACCTGTGACTTAGTGGTTTAAAGTTGATTACCTTAACCAATGAGCCGCTATTATCTAAACATGTATAAGATATTATATAATTAGTGGATTTTTACGTTCTGAGCTTTGCAATTAGTTCAACACCAATATATTATAGATACTTGATTCTAGTGAGCAAATAAAAACACAAACACAAAGTTCTTGTGATTTTGAACATTTTAAGCTCATGTCGATCAATTGAAGTAATTTAACCAATTATCTTATGAAGAAGAGTTTTGTGAATTCCTAAATCGTTTAGGAGTGTTAAATAGGTTTTTTGTTAAAATGACATGATATTCATATGGAAAGCTTAGTTCATCTAATATAATAAATTGAGAGGACGAAAAGCGAATGTCCGGCGTTTTAACCGGGTTGGGGGACATGGAAAGTCCACCTAGGGAGGTTGAAAAACCCTGATTCTAAACCAGTGATGCGCATGGGCTCCAATATCCTACGGGAACAATTGGCGTATGAACCAATCGTTGATCACTGGCTACCATGAGACTGCATCTCCTTACGATACTCCACTGCCTTGTGGGTCAGACCTTCATGTCGAAGGCTCCGGGTGTGGTCCCCTAAGAAAACCACCTGTTTCGGTTTGGGCACCTGAACTTATCACAGCCCTCACACAAATCAAATGAGATTTGTGTGGCGCATATGTAACTGGTGCCCCCTTGTACCAATATCTATGTGTTAAAATAGATAAAAATAAACAAGTATCCGAAATATAATTAAAAAAGAACTGGTTTCTTTTTCTTATATTCAAGTTATATTGTTAGCTAAATCATACCATTGCTGAAAGAATGAATAATGGGGATTTTTTGCGTCCATTATAATTTTCTACTTAGTATTTTTTTTAAACACAACAGCAAAAGATTCAATGGCAAAAATGTTAGCGTTTATATCAAATTAACGTAGAAATCATTCAGTGTTTTTACAATCCATCCACTAATTCTGATTGATTAGGAATTGACCAGTTATAT